GCTTTCCAGCCACACCTCCCCAAGCCTGGAATGCTGCAGGGGTGGTTGTGGCCCCAGTGATGGAAAGATTTAACTACTTTGGCAGACTGAAAGGAAAGCCAGGCTCGTTTCTTACCCACATCTCTTCTGTTTCACCCTCAGGTTACAAATACTTTACTCAGAGGTGAATGTATGCCACCCGCTCCCAAGCTGTTTACAATCCATACTGTAATATCCCTCAGCTACTCGCTCTGCTTTCCAATTGTGGAAGTAAGAGGAGTGAAACTGGGATTTCAGGCTAGCAAAACTGCTTCCTCATCTGCCTCACTGCTTTTGCCTTTTTACTGGATACTGAATTTGATGTGACAGTGCTTCATCCAAGCTTACCGTTACACTCCAGCACTTCTGAAACACAACCCTATTTTGCACGGCAAAGGTTGCTTAAATATAATCTCCAAAAATTAACAAGGAAACTATTTTCTCACTATTTTCCTAGTGAGATACTTACTTTAAGTAACACATTTCCTATTTCCAATGTGAATGTAGTGATGCAGCAAAGTTAATGCAAACAAAATGGCAAGTGAAATGGGCTGAGAACAGCTTAGAAAAAAATTATCATCTCAAAGTTAGACTAAAAATATTTTCTTTAGTTACTGAAATCCCAAGGCATGACACTGTATTTCATGGTTAACTGGAACAACCAGTTCAGACTGTGGTAAGAAACATTAGTATACTTTACACATTGGTCAAGTCAAACATTTTCTCTCTTCAGAATAATTTAGAAGAGAATTAAACAATATCAGAGACAAAATGATCTGAATATATAAAGAACATGTAAATACCAATTTTTGAGGACCTAATTCATGTATCAACTGTTACTGCAGTGGAAGTCAAAAGGATCTGGGGTGTGCAAAAGATGCCCAGTTGTCTCCCAAGTTGACTTTGCAAAGTCAAGGAGCTGTAAGCCTCCAGAGAGTCGTCTGGGGAATAGTAAAGATGAGAATGGGCTCTCCTCTTTTAGGATACAAAGATAATTCCCCACACTACTTAAAAAAAAAGTCTGAAAGGAAGTGCTGTAGGTACAGCTTACTACAGTTCACCGGAAAAAAAAAACCCACTGCTAACTTGAAATACTTCTTTAATGTTTTCCTATATGTTCTTCTAAACTGACACCAATTAATTAAGAAATTAAAGAAAAAACTCTTCCCCCCAGCAGTTTCCTTGCTTTAGCCACACAACAGTGCTTTGGCTTCTAACAAATAAATGATCCCCAGTACAGAAAGTTTTCCATTTCAAACACCCTCCCAAAATGTCACAGCTCTACATAACTTGAGCAAGTTTTCTCTCTCCCACATGCAGAGTATCTTATCACACTCATCTTCACCAGCGCACTGACCTCACCTACACTGTTCTGTGGCAGCGAGGATGCCATCCCATGAAGGGTTCCTTTGGTGCTCTGGAAGCGAACTGCTGGCCGGTGAAGTCTCCCCTTGGTGATCTTGAACAGCCACCAGGAGGTTACTGCAGCAGGAACGGTCTAGAACAGTCATTGTGTTGAGCAGAACCAACCGACTTTTCCACGGATGTGATTCAGGACTCCAGTGCACTCTCCTGCTTAAACTGGTTCCAGGATGAGCACAACTCCTTGGTGTGAGCCGGCACCGGTTTCCGTCTAACACATTAACAGTGTTTCTGAGAGTCTTTCCTACAGCAGCCGGGCAGAGAAATTTTACACGAGTAAATCACAGTTATGAGTACGTGAAAAAAAAGGAGACACTTTCAGACAGGTCAAGTCCCTGAAAACAAAAACAGTTAGAAACAAACAGCATCCACTTAAATACAGACCTGAACAACGGTGTAGGAGAAAACCAACTTTTAACCAGAGAAGCAGCAGCATTGTACTAGGAATGCTTAATTCCCACGTAACTCCGTTCCGGCACAGACTGGAACGTAGATAATCACAAAATGTGCCAGTAAAAGTTCCGATGGGTGCAGGTGGTGTGACACAGAAGGTGAACTATGCACAGAAGGTGCTCCAAAGCTCTCAGGCACGTTCAACACACGAGCAACCACAATTGTTCCTAGGATGGAGATTAACTATCTATTAATGCAATTTAAGGAAAAACTCTGATGTAGAAAAAGCGTCTAAAAATGATATGTTTGGAAATTTTAAATCAGAATTCTCTATGGAACTTCCATACTATATTCTCTGTAACAATCTCCTCCAGCAGACAAAAAAAACCCCAAAGCCAGAAATAAAAATTCTGGCTTCCTTCTGAGATTTGTTGCTGCCTAAATATTTCTATTTGAAAGGGGTGTTTAAAAAAACAAACCAAACACCTCTGTTGTGCCATAAAGCATGTTATGAAATATTATAAAAATAATTTTGCACCACTGAGGCTATTTCAGCTCACTAGAACTTGACTATTTGCACATATCTCGCACTTACAAATCTGGTAAACCAATTTAAATTAATTTTATGGTCTTAAGTCTGTATCGCTTCTTCGAAGGAAAAATGGAAAGTTTGTGTTTTCTTGTATTAAAAAAAAAGAGAGAGAAAACCCTTAAAACACTTCATTCCCTGCCTGCAGCTCAAAAGACTAAGGTAGAAAATGGAAAGGGAGATGAGGCACTTCGTACAGCAGTGGACAACACACAAACGAGCTCACACGAGCGCACCAGATGAATGACAGTATGCTGTACATAATCCTCAAAAAACCCAACCCCAAAAAAACAGCAGCACGGAAGCAATTTTCAAATCGGCGTAAAATCAGTGACACTTCTAAATGAAAAAAAAAAAATTAAAGATTTTAGTCCGCAGACATCCTGCTATCAGGCATTTTACACGACGTGTAAAAATTTTCGTTTCTTATGTTTTCAGCACAATCTTTTCAAGCATTCTTTGTTTCAGTTCTAACTCTGTAAACAGAACCAGAAGCAGGATGTCCTCCTGGGAGTTGGTGTTCAGATGACAGCAGGCTGTAATGAAGCCATGGAAGTTGTCCATCTAGGAAAAACTTCAAAATTGGTTCAATTCCAGCTGAACACGTCTGTCTTCATCAAACTCAATCGCTGTCCGATTCCTCTTTATACTTGGCTCTAATAGCCTGGCCGTTCTGCAGCGGCATCTCTTCGTAGTCACTCCTGTGAAACAGAGACTTGTTAAAAACTCTCAACACGGCCTTCAGAGACCGAGTCCAAAATCAACAGGAAGGTTCTCAACTGCACTGAGGCATCAAACTGTTACTTGGGTAAGAAGCTGGTATCTGTTTTCCTTCCTTGCTGGGCATATGAACAACATAGATGACTTCTCTCCAGAGGATGATGCGGAATAGGCGTCATTCCATAACTGCAAGCCACTCTTGGCAAGGATGAGTATGGAAGCAAGCTGGTACCACCACTACTCATCTAACCACCCAAAGGCAAGCCATCTGAGACAACGCACACAGCTAGTCCAGCACAAACTCCTTCAGCTCACTGCAGCACTAATCCCGTCCTCACTGTTCAGCCACGGCAGTGTCTTTGTTAGAGGTGAAAACATCAAGGTTTACCACGGCAGGTAAGGAGTTTGCTCAGTTGAGCACAGAGACACTTCGGAGAGGGGCTTTTTACAAGGGTGTGTAGTGACAGGACAAGGGGCAATGGCTTTAAACTGAAAGAGGGCAGATTTAGATTGGGTATAAGGAAGAAATTTTTCCCTCTGAGGGTGGTGAGGCACTGGCACAGGTTGCCCCGAGAAGCTGTGGCTGCCCCATCCCTGGAAGTGTTGAAGGCCAGGTTGGATGAGGCTTTGAGCAACCTGGTGTAGTGGAGGGTGTCCCTGCCCATGGCAGGGGGGTTGGAACTGGATGATCTTTGAGGTCCCTTCCAGCCCAAACCATTCTATGATTCTATGACACTTGACCAAGATGGGTTCTAAGTGCTGCTAGAATTCTCACATTACATAAACACACGACTCCAGGAGGTTTTGCTAGATGTGATTATTGTTATTTCAGTAAGTGCTGGACACCTAAGAAAAGCCATTCTCCTCCCCTGAAGCATTTACATGTGAGCTGCCTCTTTGCTAACTCTACCTGACTCCTGTCATCCTTCCAGGTTTAAAAGCAAGTGCTTTCCTTTCGTGTCTCTTGCTGCCTTCACTCCATCACCTGCCAGCACCCTAATACTTACTTAACTGTTTGTATCAGTGCCATGGCAACCCCTTTTAGAAACAAAAAAAAGGAAAAAAAAACAAAATAGCATACGTTCTTATTGCATTTCTGTTCCAGAATAAAGTTATGTTTCTGTTCTCTAAGCAGAATACTTTCACTGACAATCTAGAAAGCCTTCACTTATTTAATAAATATGGAAAAGAACGTCACAAAAATAACACACTGCAAGTAACTGTCCATAGGTATTTTGTATCCTTACCCATAAATCACATCATCATCCGAATCATTCAGCATCGAAAAGGCGGGATTGTCTTTCAACTGTGATTCTGGAAAATCCAAATAAAGGTTAATTCAGCACATGAAATACAAAAACGTGGCTGTACTGTACAACACTGAAGCAACAGCCTCCACAGCTTCCAAGGCAGTCAGGACTACAGTTCAGCAAAACTGAATCCGAACAGGAATCCTCTCCTTTAAATTCTTCACCCTTCAGCTGCAACATCATGGTATTCTGAAGAGTCAAGGAGATGACATAACTACGTCATCTTATTTTCAGAGAGATATTCTCCATGTTGTGTAAGCAGATTTCCTCCCTTGTGCAGCTTCCTATGTAATATGAATACTGTGTTCAGCTCTGGGGTCCCCAGCACAAGAAGGACATGGAGCTGCTGGAGCGGGGCCAGAGGAGGCCACGGAGATGATCCGAGGGCTGGAGCACCTCTGCTATGGAGCCAGGCTGAGAGAGTTGGGGCTGTTCAGCCTGGAGAAGAGAAGGCTCCGGGGGGATCTTATTGCAGCCTTCCAGTACTTAAAGGGGCTACAGGAAAGCTGGAGAGGGACTCTTTACAAGGGCATGTAGTGATAGGACAAGGGGCAATGGCTTTAAACTGAAAGAGGGGAGATTTAGATTGGATCTAAGGAAGAAATTCTTCACTCTGAGGGTGGTGAGGCACTGGCACAGGTTGCCCAGAGAAGCTGTGGCTGCCCCATCCCTGGCAGTGTTCAAGGCCAGGTTGGATGAGGCTTTGGGCAACCTGGTGTAGTGGAGGGTGTCCCTGCCCATGGCAGGGGGGGTGGAACTAGATGATCTTTAAGGTCCCTTCCAACCCGAACCATTCTATGATTCTATAATATTATTTCAACCTGCATGTAAAAGTAATCAAGTCAGACTTTATCATTCTTAATCATTATTCAAAAGCTCCTACGTATTTAAAAAGCACAGACTTCATGAACTTCTTGGCTATTTACAAGCTACAAATGTAAGCAGACCAAAGCTGGAATCCCTCGTATGCAAGTCAACGACTAGCCGGTTATTTTTCATCCTGGTAACAGGTGAAGGAAGGACTTGGCACCTTTACGGTGGGATGAAAGGAAGCACGTACTTTCCACCGGCTATTTATGACAATTCCTTCCATCTTGTTTTAAGGCCTTCATTTCTTGCATAAGCTGTGCTGCTTAGCTGCAGTTTGTAATCATATGCAAGTAAAATTCAACCCAGCAATTTGTCATAAACATCTTTTTCCTGGCAGCTTCTTATTCTCTTGCCTTCTAGAAACTAAGACTTCTTGTTACCCAACAGCAAGTTTTTCACTTTATCCTCACCTAGCCATTTCTCTGATCTTTCCTAATGGAAAAATAGCACTTTTCTGTAACAGTTCCATCCATCTCTACTCTAAAAAGTTTAGAGAAAGGGCCAGCTCCACTCTTTAGTGCCTTCCCCCTGCAAACCTCTCAGCATGCAGGATGTGACTGGGCAGGGTGCTAGATAATCTCCTCTAGGCTCCCTTTCCCATAAACGCTTGGACCAGATGATCTCTCCAGGTCCCTTCCAATCTGGGTCGTTCGATGGATCTATGTTTTTAAAATCAGTGCTCAAAGCGGAATAGGCACTCAGTGTATTTATTTATTTTACAGCATCTTTATGTTAGAGAGGGATAATGCTTTATAATCCTCATGTGAGCCAGATCACATCCTTTAGGTAGGAATGCACAGCCACAAGTGCCACCCATTCAATCCTTTATCTCCCGTTACGTGGGCTCTGTGCAGCCCTCTCCCCAAAGCAAGTTCCCCCAAATCGCCCCACGTTAGAGATCAGCTTCACTCCTACCTTTCCAACAGCATGTTAGCTATTTGGGCAGATTTAGATTGGATCTAAGGAAGAAATTCTTCACTCTGAGGGTGGTGAGGCACTGGCACAGGTTGCTCAGAGAAGCTGTGGCTGCCCCATCCCTGGCAGTGTTCAAGGCCAGGTTGGATGAGGCTTTGGGCAAGCTGGTGTAGTGGAGGGTGTCCCTGCCCACGGCAGGGACTGGAACTGGATGATCTTTGAGGTCCCTTCCAACCCCTAACCCTTCTATGATTTCAGAGTGGTTTACCAGCGTGCCAACATGTTAACCTTATTGTCAGAACAAAGTAAGAATGAACTCCTGTTGCTACGTAAGGATTATCTGTGAGTCAGTGCAAAAGTCAGCGCGTATCTGCACACATACTGACGCTACGCTCCACCTAACTGCATGAGAATGCAAGTTTAGCTAATTAGTTGTAGACATTTTACGTGTTCCTTCACGTTTCCAATACTAATTTGCTCAAGAGTAGTGCAGCTTCTGCTTATTGAAACAGTAATTAGACAACCAAAAGATAATGATGTTACACAGTATCTGCCAACGTGCCGGCTCTTGTCATCTAAATTTGCCAGACAATTGCTTACACTTACCATATAGCGCGTTCTTGGACGGGGAATACACGAAGGCTAATGTGTAGAGATAAAAGTTCAATAGACCATAAAATGATAAGAATTCTGCTGGTAGCAAATGTCAAGGATATTGCTAAACAGAGCTGCTTACATTATGAACTTCGGAAACAAGACCCAAACCACACACAAGCTGTTTCAATGTTAACAGAAGTTTGAGCGCATGAATGGCTAAAGAAAACTGCATGTTTTAAATTCCGTGACAACTAATATTCTCAAGGTATTTCAAGGTGAAGCTCCCACTGAAGACAAAGCTTTAACACAAGTAACGTGCTGAGATCTGGTCTGCTCTGAGCGGTGGGGTGCACGGTGAATTGAACAGTTCTGCCTTCAGTGGTCAAAGAAAGCTGAGTAAGGGGGGTGTTCAGGTGGGGTTGGTTTGTTTTTTTTATTTTTTGAAAAGTTCTTCCTTGGCACAGGGATTGAGAAGGAAGGAGAAAGGACTATCTGTAGACAGCACTCTGAAGATGGCTTCTTGCCGCCATTTTGGAAAATTACTAAAGGCTTTACCTCTTGTTTTCTACTGGCACCCAATACACATCTGAGCTTCTCGGTAACCAGAGCAGTTGCAAACCACACGGGCACTTTCAGAAAGCAGAACGAACCAGGATCTAACGGTCCAGGTCCAGAAATACCACTTGTAATCCTGCTGCCAACAGACATCAAACAGTCTCTCTCAAGTCACTTAAATTCTCTGCTATGACCTCTTCCACACACAGACCTGGAGCACGACACAAATACATTTTCAGTGACTTCTAAACTATTAAACTTCTCAAATATTTCAGTATGCCCATGCCAACTGATGACAGGTCTGCAGCAAACTGAAGTCGTGCAGCAAATACAGCCAAATCTGTCACAATAACTTGTTAAAATTACTTGAATGCATCCATATCCAGGCCTTCATTCCTTCTGAAAAGCATCAAAAGTTGTGATTTATGTGATAGGAACAAATTAGACCGAAACTGTCTCAGCTCATACTCTTTACAAAGAGTCATTACAAAATGCTGACAGGAAACCTTGATCAAAATCGACTGAACTTCAAAAGCCCACCTAGAAGTCAGAGGTCTCAGTCCTCAGGTACATCATTTTACAGCACTTCCTGCGTGAAAACAGATTAACAATCTAGCTGAGCAGCACCACAACACAAGGATATAATTCTGATAATGAGTCGACAGCTCAGCAACAAAGTTGTCCTGGAGAACTTGTGCTCCAAAGCGTAGGTAGAGTATAACAATGCTGTGGAAAAAAGTTAAAGCACACAGGTGTAACGTGTCTTTAAACCACAAAATTGAAACGGCAGCTTGGTAGAAGAGTATATGAGGAAATAATTACATTAACATGCTGAGCATTTATTTTAAGACATATTTGCCTTTGTAGCTCTAAATTAAGAATGATTCCTTTGTGATTAAGTCAACAGGCAACTGAGCAAAGTGGAAAACACTCCCATGGTCTGTCTCCCTCGGATTTCATCCACTACAGACAGTACCAGAGTCAACAGTAATTTGAAATACATAATTGGAGAGGAGGAGACAGATATTAATGATAATCTAAGACACTAATTCTAAACTTCTACTTTGACTAAGTGAAGCTTACAAAGCTCCAGAAGAGGTGAACAGTGCACTGCAGAGCACTCAGCAGCACAGAAAATAGCTAAGTGAGCCTCTAAATCTTGCTGTGGGAATGCAAATAATATAAAGTTAGCTCTAAAAGCCTCAAGAAGAGTTAAAAAAATTAAGAAATGTTTGGCGTAAAAATCGTATGAAAAGACATTCCTCAGTTTCACTGATGATTTTATCAACAAAATGTATTCAAAGCCCTGGAAAAAAGGTCATGAAAGTTACAGCACTGAGGAACGTACTTTGAAAAGCCTTACCTAATGACGAGCACTACAAAGGTTAATGCAGTCAAGAATTTTAACCTGAGATCTGAAAAAGATGGAGAAAAGTTTTTATTAGTGAACTGACACCTACATCTAGGAGAAACAAGCCTGGCTGGGGAAGAGTCAAAAGAAATATTCCTTACCAACATAAGGCATGTTACGAAGCTCTGAGCATGCCCTCACTATCAGGAACAACAGGTAGAGAACGTACGTGGTTGCCACCACAAGGAAGAAGATTTTCATTCCCTGTAAGAAGAGTGTTAGTTTTTATTCTTTAACGATATGGGGTCTATTCCTTCTTCCCTCATTAGAAATCATCACTTCCCAAAGCACAACACAGAATGGTCCATTTATTCAGGGAAAGTGGGCTCTTGAAAGGAAGTACAAAACAAGGATGGCTATACATCAAGGTAGGGTTTTGGGGAATAATGTAAAGAAAGGATGTTTAACAGAAATCATTGTTCTGTTTGCTGAGTTCACAGTGAGCTGAATCTCAATGACATTCTAAAAACACAGCTCCTGAGAACAATACAAGGACCCCTATATTCCAAATCTTCTTTTACGACACAAAAGTCTGAGATTTACTAGGACTGAGGATCTTGGCAGGAATAAAGATGTACAAAACTGACTTAATAAGAAGCTTCAAAAAATTTCTTTCAATCCCAACAGTCACAGGTCTGTGACTAAACATGTGGTGTTCAGTATCCAGATTTGCAAGCCAGTTTACTCTTCTCGTTGGGGTGGAGCTCAATACAGCCTATGAATGACCTACACCGAAATTAAAAGTACCCTGGTCAGAATGAGACCATCTGACCAGCATTTGCTATTTTCTAAATTGTGTTATAGATTTTAATAGAAAAACAAACTCCACCTCCTTGTATTGCCTAACTCCACCCCGCAATTCAATAGCAAGAAAATATTTCTGACTTACCTGGAAATTGCCTGTGTCAACCCCGTATTGATATGTAGGATCATGCACTTCATTCACACTAGGAAAGATCGAAAATGAAGAAGTGGTACTTCTACCATGACAAAAGACAAGGTCAAAAAGCTGTACTGCCCAAGACACCCACTCCAAACAAAAGGTTTAGAGTTGCTATACAGAGTTTGTAACTAAAGGTTTGGGCTGTATAAATTGGTATAATGTCATTGATTCCACTGCAGTCATGACAATCTACATTATACCACATCCTCCTTCTTCCTAAAACAAATTTTCAAGGAATACGGAGGATTTCAGTTGCGAGCATGTCTAACCTCCCCACTTATTTTTTAGGAAATGTATAATCTTGCAAATTCCTACAAGCCTTCAAGATTTAGTGTTTAAATTTTACCCTTGGTGATAAGAATTATACTTGAGAAATAACTGTGGTACGAGCCCTTCCCTCATACCAATTCTGCTGACAGGATATCAGCACGAGCATTTCCTGCAACTGTACTGCTTTCCACAACACACAACCCCACGGAGATGGTCAGAAGGCCTCTTCCTTCGGAGAAATAAGACAAGAGGCAAACACTGGAGACTAAAATAGCTTGGAGACTACAAATGTCCCAAAACTGAGAAAGTTTTCTGGGTGTAGAATAGCGACACCTTTCTGTTAACACAATGAATTGGAAAAAAAGGGAGAAACACTAAACCAAGCAAAAGAACCAAGTTTTGAGGAGCGAGAGCATAGCTGGGCTAAGCAGTGTCAATACCAACTGTGCAGCTGAGAAAGTTTGGTCAAACTGTGTAATAGTTGACTAGAGAAAAACTGTTGCTTCAAATACTAAAAGCAACTGGGACACGGCACTAAAGGAGTAGGAGCCATAACACAGCGACAAAGTAGTCATTTTTTAGATTTCACTCTAATTTATAAAATTATGTACTACTAGATCGTCCGTGGGGAATTCTGTTTTCAAATCAGTCACAATTTGCAAAAGAGAAAGATGTAAGAATTTGAGCTCCATTCCTGGATCACAATCAGAACATTAAGAAACAGACACCACTAATTGTAAACCATCTTCTCACTCCTGAACACTCTCAGCTCGTGAGCTCTGCACTGAATTTTAAACTACTTACGTTTGCCATATTCCTAGTGTAACAGAGGCCAGCCACAATAGTCCAACAATGAAGAATTTGGGTAGATAGAAAGTTAAGCACTTCCTTTCCCCCTGTTGAGGAAACAATAGCGTGGTGAAGGAGTGAACCCACATTTGAGATGTCATTCATTCGTGCCAAAATAAAATAACTATCATCTTTGCTTCGTTCAACATGAACTAGATTAAGAGACTCACTTTCTGCATTTTTAACCTCCACAGGTGATTCCAGAAGATATGAAATTATATCATCATTTGTGTTAATAAGATGCAGTAGATCTGGAGCATCTCACTCTTTTTAAGGTCCCACCTATTTCCCTGATACTGCAACTCCTAAACTACAAGGGCGTGTAGCAATAGGACACGGGGCAATGGATTTAAACTGAAAGAGGGCAGATTTAGATTGGATATAAGGAAGAAATTTTTCCCTCTGAGGGTGGTGAGGCACTGGCACAGGTTGCCCCGAGAAGTTGTGGCTGCCCCATCCCTGGAAGTGTTCAAGGCCAGGTTGGATGAGGCTTTGGGCAACCTGGTGTAGTGGAGGGTGTCCCTGACCATGGTAGTTGGGTTGGAACTGGATGATCTTTGAGGTCCCTTCCAACCCAAACCATTCTGTGATTCTATGAACTTCAGGAATATTCTGCAGAATTCGTATTTATCTCATGTAGCATTTTAAAGTGTTTTAAAAACCAATCGACCACCAGATACAACAACAGAACTCTTCAAGCAAGAACGAAGCATAACGGTGCAATAATTCTGAAGACTGTCTTGCAGTAGTTTAGAGTGGACTGGCCCATCCATCCCATTTAGGAGTGGCAGCCTCAACACAATCTGCTTTATCACAAATCATTTTAACTGCAAAGCTTCACCTGTCACATTGTCACGTGACAATTGTTTTCAGAGACATTTATTTTGTTCTTAAAGTACAATGTGACACGTCTCTTTTTACAAAAGTTTTTGTCACCTTTTGAGAGAATCGAAAAAACAAGCACTGTCTTCTCAGTAAGTAGTGGATAATGTTGCACCCTTACCTGTACTCTTATGCCATGGTAGACACACAGCCAGAACAACAACAATGCACACAGAAACAGGGACTGGAATAGATCATCCAGCATTCCAGGAAACCAGCTGTTCACCAGAAATGAAAGGGGGAAAAAGGGATCTGTAACGAAACCAGAAAAAAAAGTTAAACAGAGGTGAAAAAGCACAGTCTTTGCCATTCTGAAAAGTAAAGCAGGATGTATCTTCGGAGGAACACAAAACCCTACATTTTTCAAATTATACCACTAAATGAAATTGAAGTTTGCTGTATTTCAAAGTAATTTACAAAGCAAATGGTGCCTCTAGCAGCAATCCTCTGTGCTGCAGAAATCATCTGAAATGGTTGCCAACATTTCTAGAAGATTTCAGGTTTTATTAGACTTCTTACCAAACCACTGTTCTTGGTGATGACCTAAAAAATTATCACAAAATGACTGAAAGGCAAATATTCTTTCAGCACTGCTAGAGAGTGCCAGAAGCTGATGTGGTTTACCAGACTGAAGGCAGCCTCTGTTTGTAACTAAAGCGCAAGTATCTGAGGAATGAAGAAGCCAGACTGAGCAGACAAACACAGAAATTGCATTTATGTGTCGCTACGTGAAAGGTTCAGTAGGTTGCAGCCACCTATTCCAACCAGAGTTTGAAACAAATAGTTGACATTCATGTGACTGAAAAGAATGAAACCCACCTACTCATTGTGCCCTTGAATGTGATGCGCTTAAAGAGGGTTGTGGTTTGTTGTTTGTTTTTTTTTTTTAAATAGTTTTCTGAAGCCTTATAGACAGCTGCTTATAAATTCAAGGCCGAATTCCATTTTGCCTTCTCTCTCTCGCATTCTTTTTTTTATTTCAACTACTTTTTTTTTAAAAAAAAACAAACAGGTTTTTCTAAAAATTCCAGGAATCAAGTACCATTGTAAAGTAGCAGGAGGGGAAGGAGGATGGACATCCATTTCTGTTCAATACCCCAGTCTCTCATGGAGAATTTCCGCAGGGAATGAGCAAACAGACACTATAAAACAACAGCAACAAAAATATACATCAGGAAGGAATACAGCCTTAGTGGCTTTACCAGAGTGAAGAGAACACAGCACAGGGAAAAGGCTGTTTCATGAGGTCTTTGCCACTAAGAACATTTTAAAGCAGGAGCCACATCTCCCAGCTTCTACTTCTGCTTCAAGTTTGCTGGCTTACCACAATGCAAATTACTTCATCTCTCAAGTGAACTGGGAAGGAAACCAGCTAGTACTGTGCAAATCAACAACGTACGAAAAACGTTTCCTAATTACTGGTCACACACTACCACAACTTCCTCTTAAACTCACTTTTTTAAAAAAAACAGATTCCATATCACATTCAGAGTTCCCTGCTGAGTGACATCATCTGTGTGAGAAAAACACTATGCAAGCGTTCAGTGCTTTGGTTTCCTTACTCCAAAAATTCTGCATTTTAGGATTTTTTTTTTTTTTTTTCCCCAAACACTTATCTTCCACAGGCCAAACCAGGTTGGAGGGGAGAGATAATCTAAACTGTAGCATAATTTAGGTTGTAGGGGACCTCTGAAGGTCATCTGGCCCATCCTCACACTCAAGGCAGTGACAACTTTAATGTTAGATCAAGGTCACAATCAACTGAGTTTTGTTCGTTTTCAAGGACAGAGAGCCCACACTCTGGGCATCCTATTCCAATGTCTCAGCCTACCTGCAATGCAAAAAAATATATTTTTTCTAGCATGTAATCACAATTGCCTTTGTTTCAGCAAAATTCCTTGTGTTCAATTCAGAATGGGAGCTCAGAAAGACAATTTTTCCCATTTATCCTAGTTTCTTAATGTCCCTTCAATACCATCCATGAAAATATAAAACCAGCAACTACATAAGCATTTTAGAAACATTTTTTACAGTGACTCAGTGACATATCAGCTCTGCTGCCTGGGGTTAAGTCACTAAACACGGCACTACAGAGCAGCGTTATCAGCTGCCTACATAATATATTTCAGAAAACTGAAACAAAAATTTACCGTGACCATAAAAGTAAGAACTACAAAGACAAATCGGAACCATATTTCCACTTGTGAAAAAGTTGGATTGTAGGTCTTCCACTACAAGAAAACAGAACAAAAACAGCCCGATGAACAATGTTTTGACAGGGTACATACAACATCAGTAATTAGCACTTTCTGCAGATACTGAAAAGTTCTCTGGCTTTTCCAAATTTAAAGGCATAACCTAATTCCACCACATCACCATGGAAAGACAAAGACAAATTCATACCCACAGGACTATCTACTGAAAAGATCACCAAAGCAGCCCAATATCCTTAGCTCTCTTTCACCCTGCTGCTTTGTAACACACTCAGTGTCCTGTCATACGTTAAAGCACTTCTCAGGACAACAAAAAATATTCTTCATTGACTTCAATTGCTCTTTCATGCAAAGTTTGAATGCCAATAATCGAGTCAATCCAGTGTGGTGTTCTTTATTACCAGATGCATAAATCGATTACGAAGAGGTTGATAAGGTACAGGCGTGCTTCCTGGAACAGGTTTGTTTTCGTAAAGCTTATTCTCTTGTTTCGGAAGTGGAAAAAAGAAAATCAAGGAAGGGAAGAATAAATGAGCTAACCAGAAATGAAGAACGTTTTTCATCAGTTAAGGAGGAAAAGGTCTTTCTTCTCCTCTAATTATTACAGGGGCACAAATATAGAATCACAGAATGGTTTGGGTTGG